ATTAATGGATGTTCTTCATACCATGAGCATGCTTTTCCTTCTCCTTTTTTTATAACTAAGCTAAATTATGTACACCTATCGTGTTATCCTCCTTCTCATTTTTAATACCATTATCAATTGCATCATTAAGACCTCATTTACATATTGCATTATTATAATTTCAATATAATCAACAGTAAAATCGGCATTCGAGATTTCTCGTACGTCTGGCAACAGAGTCTCTTCAGTTTCTCCCGACTTGCAGACGAGAGACGAATCCATCATGAGGTACATAATATTATCCATGCATATTTGGATGTCGATTAACGCAGTTTAAGTCTTATCATTTGATTCCTCTTTTTTTTTCTCTCTTTTTTTAAGAAGTGGTCTGTTCGTCTTATCATTTGCTTCCTAACACTTTTTTTTCTCTCTTTTTTTTAACAGGTGGTCTGTTCGTCTTATCATTTGCTTCCTAACACTTTTTTTTTCTCTCTTTTTTTAACAGGTGGTCTGTTCGTCTTATCATTTGCTTCCTTTTTTTTTCTCTCTTTTTTTAACAGGTGGTCTGTTCAAGTCTTATCATTTGCTTCCTAACACTTTTTTTATCTCTTTTTTTTAACAGGTGGTCTGTTCAATTACTGGTGGTACTTGCTACAGGGAACGCTGTGATCTTTACAGTCGTTCAATTCACAAAACCTCAACCAGTGCAGCAAGGACGGTTCGTAATATGTCAAAGAAATAGAGAGAGAGAAGGAGAGAGAGAGAGAGAGAGAGAGAGAGAGAGAGAGAGAGAGAGAGAGAGAGAGAGAGAGAGAGAGAGAGAGAGAGAGAGAGAGAGAGAGAGAGAGAGAGATAGATATAGATATAGAGATAAAGATAGAGATAGAGATAGATAGATATAGATAGATAGATAGATAGAGAGAGATATATATAGATAGAGATAGAGATAGAGAGAGATAGAGATAGATATAGATATAGATATAGAGATAGAGATAGAGAGAGATAGAGATAGAGATAGAGATAGAGAAAGATAGATAGATAGATAGATAGATAGATTGATAGATAGATAGAGAGAGAGAAAGTGGAGAGGGAGGGGAAGAGGGAGAGGGAGAGGGAGAGGGAGAGAGAGAGAGAGAGAGAGGAGAGAGAGAGAGAGAGAGAGAGAGAGAGAGAGAGAGAGAGAGAGAGAGAGAGAGAGAGAGAGAGAGAGAGAGAATTTTATGATCAACCTGAAAACTGGCAAACCAGTGATTATACCGTAACCAGACCGTTTATATTATTCCTTTCATTTTGTTCCAACTTAAACTATCCAATAATTATCAGTTGAATTAAGTAGATTGCGCGGTGTAGCTCCCTTAGGATCTAGGCTTTTGGGAGACGAATTTTAACATTTGCACTATTACAGTATGATTATTTTTGTGTGTGTGACCCAAATTACACAGTAACTGCCTTAATCATGTTTGTGACGTCAAGAATTTAGGAATGGAAATATTTCTCTTTTCAATAAGGAAAGAATATGAAGACATGAGCAAGGGGAGAGTTCTAGAATTTTGGTTAATGGACTAGCTGTGAAAAATAAATGGAGTGTGCTGCTTCGCATGGTCATACATATTACTTTTAAATATGTATCGTCAATATATTGCTCACACATATGTGCAGTTCGCTTAGGAATACCAATGACAGCAGATGCCTTTTTCTTTCTTTTTCTACATTCAGGGCTGATAATTTAGTAGTCACGCCATCGGTGTCATTCCCTGGACTTGCAAGGACTCGAGAAACCCCGAGGAAGTCCTGTGTTCCTCAGGACTCCGTGTACTTCCTCAAGACCCCAAAGTGCGCCTCCTCGACCTTTTCACAGGTGTTCACCGCGTGAGTAAAGGGTATGGGAAGGCACGCGGGCATTGGTGAGTAAAGGGTATGGGAAGGCACGCGGGCATTGGTGAGTAAAGGGTATGGGAAGGCACGCGGGCATTGGTGAGTAGAGGGTATGGGAAGGCACGCGGGCGGGCATTGGTGAGGGTATCGGCACGCGGGCATTGGTGAGTAAAGGGTATACGCGGCATTGGTGAGTAAGGGTATGGGGCACGCGGGCATTGGTGAGTAAAGGGTATGGGAAGGCACGCGGGCATTGGTGAGTAAAGGGTATGGGCATTGGTGAGTGGGAAGGCACGCGGGCATTGGTGAGTAGAGGGTATGGTACGCGGCATTGTGAGTAGAGGGTATGGGCACGCGGGCATTGGTGAGTGGGTATGGGCACGCGGGCATTGGTGAGTAGAGGGTATGGGAAACGGGCATTGGTGAGTAGAGGGTATGGGAACACGGGCATTGGTGAGTAAAGGGTATGGGAATTCACGCGGGCATTGGTGAGTAAAGGGTATGGGAAGGCACGCGGGCATTGGTGAGTAAAGGGTATGGGAAGGCACGCGGGCATTGGTGAGTAAAGGGTATGGGAAGGCACGCGGGCATTGGTGAGTAGGGGTATCAGCGCACGCGGGCATTGGTGAGTAGAGGGTAATGGGAATTATTGGTGAGTAAGGGTATCACGCGGGCATTGGTGAGTAAGGGTATGGGAATTCACGCGGGCATTGGTGAGTAAGAGGGTATGGGTCACGCGGGCATTGGTGAGTAAGGGTATGGGAAAGGCAGCGGGCATTGGTGAATAGAGGGTATGGGAAGGCAAGCGGGCATTGAGTAGAGGTATGGGAAGGCACGCGGGCATTGGTGAGTAGAGGGTATGGGAAGGCACGCGGGCATTGGTGAGTAGAGGGTATGGGAAGGCACGCGGCATTGGTGAGTAGAGGGTATGGGTACGCGGGCATTGGTGAGTAGAGGGTATGGGAAGGCACGCGGGCATTGGTGAGTAGAGGGTATGGAAGGCACGGGGCATTGTGAGTAGAGGTATATGGGAATTCACGCGGCATTGGTGTAGAGGGTATGGAAGGCACGCGGGCATTGTGAGTAGAGGGTATGGGAAGGCACGGGCATTGGTGAGTAAGAGGGTATGGGAAGGCACGCGGGCATTGGTGAGTAGAGGGTATGGGAAGGCACGCGGGCATTGGTGAGTAGAGGGTATGGGAAGGCACGCGGGAATTGGTGGAGAGGGTATGGGAATTCGCGGGCATTGGTGAGTAGAGGGTATGGGAAGGCACGCGGGCATTGGTGAGTAGAGGTATGGGAATTTTGCGGGCATTGGTGAGTAGAGGGTATGGGAAGGCACGCGGGCATTGGTGAGTAGAGGGTATGGGAATTTACGCGGCATTGGTGAGTAGAGGGTATGGGAAGGCACGCGGGGCATTGGTGTAGAGGGTATGGGGCGGGCATTGGTGAGTAGAGGGTATGGGTACGCGGGCATTGGTGAGTAGAGGGTATGGGAGGCATTGGTGAGAGGGTATGGGAAGGCACGCGGGCATTGGTGAGTAGAGGGTATGGGAAGGCACGCGGGCATTGGTGAGTAGAGGGTATGGGAAGGCGCGGGCATTGGTGAGTAGAGGTATGGAAGGCACGCGGGCATTGGTGAGTAAAGGGTATGGGAAGGAGCGGGCATTGGTGAGTGAGGGATGGGAAGCACGCGGGCATTGAGTTAGGGGTATGGGAATTTACGCGGGCATTGGTGAGTAGAGGGTATGGGGAATTACGCGGGCATTGGTGAGTAGAGGGTATGGGAAAGCGCGCGGGCATTGGTGAGTAAGGGTATGGGAAGGCGGCATTGGTGAGTAGAGGGTATGGGAAGGCACGCGGGCATTGGTGAGTAGAGGGTATGGGAAGGCACGCGGGCATTGGGTAGAGGGTAAGGCACGCGGGCATTTGGTGAGTAGAGGGTATGGGAGGCACGCGGGCATTGGTGAGTAGAGGGTATGGGAAGGCAGCGGGCGCCACGCGGGCATTGGTGAGTAGAGGGTATGGGAAGGCACGCGGGCATTGGTGAGTAGAGGGTATGGGAAGGCACGCGGGCAATTGGTGAGTAGAGGTATGGGAAGGCACGCGGGCATTGGTGAGTAGAGGGTATGGAGCATTGGTGAGTAGAGGTTGGGAAGCACGCGGGCATTGGTGAGTAAGGTATGGGAAGGCACGCGGGCATTGGTGAGTAGAGGGTATGGGAATACGCGGGCATTGGTGAGTAAAGGGTGGAAGGCACGCGGGCCATTGGTGAGTAGAGGGTATGGGAAGGCACGCGGGCATTGGTGAGTAAAGGGTATGGGAAGGCACGCGGGCGGAAGGCACCGGTGCATTGGTGGTAGAGGGTATGGGAAGGCACGCGGGCATTGGTGAGTAGGGTATGGGAAGGCACGCGGGCATTGGTGAGTAGGGTATGGAATTCACGCGGGCATTGGTGAGGTAGGGGTATGGGAAGGCACGCGGGCATTGGTGTGAGTAAAGGGTATGGGAAGGCACTCGGGCATTGGTGAGTAAAGGGTATGGGAAGGGGCATTGGTGAGTAAAGGGTGGGAGGCACGCGGGCATTGGTGAGTAAAGGGTATGGGAAGGCACGCGGGGCATTGGTGAGTAAAGGGTATGGGAAACGCGGGCATTTGGTGAGTAAAGGGGTATTGGAAGGCACGCGGGCATTTGGTGAGTAAAGGGTATGGGAAGGCACGCGGCATTGGTGAGTAAAGGGTTGGGAAACGCGGGTGGAGTAAAGGGTATGGGAAGGCACGCGGGCATTGGTGAGGGTGGGAAGGCACGCGGGCATTGGTGAGTAAAGGGTATGGGAAGGGGTGTAGATGACGAGAAAGAAAGAAATACAAAGAAGGGATAGATAGAGTGAAAGAAACACAGGGAAGGGGAGGAGAAACAGGTGGGAGTGGAGTGATAAGAGATGAATCTGAAGGGGAAAGAAAAAGAGAGAGGAGGAACACACAAACAGAAAGTATTCACATGAATTACTCGTAAATGAATAATAACTCTGTCAGATAAGAAAATTCCATGATATTTATTCAAGTGCTTAAATATATTTCAATAAGGTACGGAGTCAAACACGGGCTGACCTTCGCCCTGCCCATCCACTACGGACGGATAACTATATCTCCCAAAATTCTGCCTCCTGAGTACCACGGCGCTCCCGACGGCCGCTACCACATGGTCGTGTCCCACACTCAGTTTAGTAAGGAGGGAGCAGAGAAGGCGAGTCCGTCCTTTAACTCATTTGCAACTTCATATACGAATTTCTTACTTATATCCTCTGCAAATTGAAGCAATCAACGCTCGTTAGTCTCTAAAGTAATGAAATGAATAACAATCAACTGTTCAATGTCTGCTTACTTCATCACTGGTCTGATTTTACAGGTGATGAAGGAATCAGCCAAATATGTTGCAACTGTCCGGGAACCAGTATCACGTTTTGTGTCCATGTGGTTTTTCGCAAACTATCAAAAGGTCAATAAGTAGAAAATTATTAGTGCAAAAGCCAGGCGTTCATACTTTTGTTTATACATGAATGATTATTCTAGTGAAAATAAGCTAATTGGTCTAGTTCTCTTTTATTCCAGAGATTTCACAAGACTCTTACTGCCTTCCTAAACCTGCCTCAATATGTACCACAGCATAAAAAGAAATTCAATATGATTGCGGATTATTTTGGAGTCAAAGATCCCCGCAAAGACGTACCAGAAGGTGAAGTACTTAGCAAGGCGAGATGGCTCAATGAGGCCTTCGACTTGGTGATGGTTGCCGAGAGGTTCGACGAGTCGCTGGTCCTCCTGAAGCACCTCATGTGCTGGAACACCGAGGACGTCGTTTACCTCAAGGCCAAGATTCGGAAGCCCACTTATAGGGCCAAGCTCTCGGAGGCGCAGAAGGAGAGGCTTCGGCAGCTAAACAGGCAGGATGTCATTCTGTACAAGTTCTTCAGGGAAATCTTCGAGGAGAGAGTCAAGGCCTTCGGCGAGGAGAGGATGCAGAGGGAAGTCGAGGAACTTCGCCAAGCGAACGCTCGACTCATCGACGACTGTGGAGCTAAGCCATCTTGGCCAACCGGGAGGGTCAAAACGTGGACAGTAACGAACGACTCGAACCTCTGTAAAATGCTTTCAATGGAAGGTTATAATGTTCAGAACCAGCTGAAGAAAAGACAAAGGTTATGGGTAGCTAGTAACTTGACTTACGACCTGTTAACATGGTCCTTTACTTAAGTGAACGAGGGAGAAAGGGAATGTGAATTTCTTACGCGCATCATAAAATAAAATAGTTTGCCCTAATTATCGTATTTTCTTCCTCATCCATTTTATTTTGTCCCTCTTGTGAAGGAGAAGAATTTAGATAATGATTGTTCAGATTTTATGTAAGTAAACGGAAGTAAAATAAGAAGTATATAAATATATGTATATTCAACAGCAAATTCATAAGTGAATATCGATATATAAATATATATATGATAGTAAAATAAAATACATTATACTAATAAGGACAGTTAAATCGATACAGAAATAATCTATAAATATGCAAAGTAGCTTTGGTGACATTTTTTTCTTTCTTTTTTTTATCTTTTAAGCTCAACATTCCAGTTGCAGGTTAAAGATAATAGCAACTTTCTGGCTTTAAATTCTCTTATTCTTCCCGATAGAGTCATAAAGATTAACATTATCGAGACTAATTTTTACCATTCTGGGTATGAGCATCCCGTGGGTATTATTGCTGAGGGGTCTGGGAGTTTTTTTTTTTTTTTTTTTTTTTTTTTTGTAGGCGAAAACAGTTTTGTATATTTCTACATGAGATGTTAGTATGCATAAGGAAATCAGCTCCAGTTTCGCCAATAAATAGATAGTAAGTAATTTGAATTTAAAGTTTTCAAAAATCGTGCAAAAAAAAAAAAAAAAAAAAAACGATATTCAGGAATCCCCAACGTCATTTTCCTTTACTATAAGCTCTCCAATGCCCAATCTAATTTCAAAACGCTTAAAAGCTGATTTTGAGAAATGGATAGCGATATTTTTTGTTCATTTTTTTCATATAAGTTAATTAGTTTCCGCTTTTATTCATGCCTTTTCAGATGTACATGTGTTCGTCTCTATTTAGATGTAAATGTACTCGGATATATATATGTGGATGCGTGGCTTTGAGTCTGACACGACCAGGTTAGAATTATTATTATTTTCAATTGATTTCGTTTCATTACCAGATTGACTCGTTTCCAAGGTCAGAACTCGCCATTGCAGGATTGGACGAGAAAATATTTCAGGAAATCATCATCTTTTCGGGTCGCAAACTGAAGGATAAGTTCGTGTGAAAATCCCTGAGTACCTGCCTACAATTTGAACTTCACTATATGTTTTCAACACGATAGCTGTGACATAAAAACCGTTTCTTCAATTTCGTGACTATATTTCTCTCTCTCTCTCTCTCTCTCTCTCTCTCTCTCTCTCTCTCTCTCTCTCTCTCTCTCTCTCTATATATATATATATATATATATATATATATATATATATATATATATATATATATATATATGTATATATATACATATATATATATATATATATATATATATAATATATATATATGTATATGTGTGTGTGTGTGTGTGTG